TTTGAACACAGCCTAAGAAGAAAGGCACAATAAAACGTAAATTGCCACATTGCTTGTATAAATCTTTTTAAGACACTTAGTCCTGAATTCAAGTTACAGACACATCCTAAATTCTAGGCCTTTGCTGTCACATGCCTTTTCTAGGTTCTACAACTGTACTTCATCCATAATTATGAATATAAGGATGACTATTTGGATTGAAAGATCTCTATTTGTATTTTCTAAAATTCTTTTATTGAAAAGGACTTAGTTTGTAATTCACTGACAAAGTGCCAACCAATATGGGGTAGATAATGTAAAGCTGTAAAACATTTATCTATTGCATTACTTTTTAGGAAAGAATGAAATTTTTTTCAGAATATTTTGTACCATTGACTGAAAGAATGATATCAAGAATTCTATATGTAATAAATGTCTCTCTTATTCCCTCATTTATGATTATTAATGGTGCGAATGATATGTTTTCCCTCCAGCCATTAAGAAGAGTTAGCAATAATTAAGAAATTTTGATACAAAAAGTTTAATGTGTAAACTGTAAAACTTATATGTAAATGTGATCACAGGGAAGCGGGCACTTTCCAAGGGTAAATATGGAATTAAAGTAGAGCTCCATTTCTTGGCAGATATTTTAATATTTTACCCAGTCTTCAATATCAGAATGTATGTTTGTCTATCATACATAAAAACATATGAGGGGTTTTACCTGTTTGATAACTGGTTGAGCTAAATGTAATTCTTTCACAGTACTACAATAAACAGAACACAGAATGGTCAGTTTTCCCATATATGACAATTGTGTATGTGCTTATTTTGCTATATATTGTATATTTTAAATTCTGGAAAAAAAATTTCTTTGGTCTACCCCTTAGCACACATTTCAGTGCATAAGTTAATATGATCTTGCAGTGTTGTCTTAGATATTTTTTATTAAGGTATGCTATTTTTTTTTTTTTTCTGTCTAGAATTTGAAGGGGGGCAATTTCAAAATCTGATTGATATTTTGTGAGTCTACTTAATACGTTGAGACTCTGAAATTTCTTTTATGGTAATATAATGTAAAATTTTGATCATTGTGTAACACTGTCTATTTCAACACACATGCTGATATAATACGTGGAAGTAGGTTAGAAAAGTTCCAAAACTTTTAATTTATCATAGTTGAGAATTAACTGTGACATATTTATCTACTATATAATATAGTGGGGGGAGGGGGAATTTCATAGTACATGCTGTAATACTTAATGCTTCTTTATCATATTGTGTGTAATTTTTTTTAGTTCTAAATACAAAAGCATTTGTTTGAAGTGCAATTTTATAAAACTATTAAGTCTTACTGAGTTATGCAGCTGTGGTATATTTATATTTTAACATTCTCAATCACTTTTATTTGGAAAGAAAAAATTTAGTTGGCTTAAGACTGCTTTCATTATTTTTGTAATCTGTTGTATAGCTGGTTTTAGGCTAAATGCATGAAATGCTTTGTTGAATGAATATTCTTTGCCTAGTGTGTCACTTTTTTGATACAGCATCTTCTAATATAATTTTCTTTCAAATTACATTATTTTGTAAAATCTCTCAATTTAATTACATAATTTTACTAAACTGCCATCATTACATTATGTTATATTATGAAACTGAAATCTGCAATAAATTTTAAATCCCTTAAAGAGCAAAATGTTAAAGTTAATCAATTTGTTATTTCCTAATTTTGTTTCTGTCATGCCATAAGTACTGTAAGGATACTTAACTTTTTAATTCTATGAATGGCTAGTAGATTAACACACTTTCTTTTTTCATCATTAAAACCATTAGCATATAAGAAAAATTTATTTGTTTAACTTCCTGTAGTGATGCAGTTATAAGTTTTATACTCAAGAATATCAAATTCATTAGATGTAGTCTTTCAGTTGCACATGTTTCTAGCATGCCATTAGAATTGAAGCAGTACTGCCAGTATCATCCATCATAGTGTAATTTTTGGTTGCATGGGTCTATTTCTTTTGCTTTAATCACTCAGCTAGGTTTGATATTTTGATCACATTCTGTAATCTAGAATTTTGAATTAAATTTACAAGGATGCTTTTAATTCTCATAAATTCCTTCTCTTATAAAATGGCTATCTGATCGTGACCCACATTGTTAGATTTGGCAGCTAAAATGATATCTGAAAGATTCGATTTTCAATGGGAAAATGCTTGTGAAAAAAAAAATTAATAATAAATGTATTCTGATTATTTTTTTTTTTTAATGATGAAAAGTCTTCACAAACACTAAAATAATTTATGCACAGATAGGGGATCTTGCCTTGAGTTTAGAATACTGATTTGAGAAACCTCACCTGTGTATGCCTCTATATGCTGTCTAGGCATGGTGAAACAACTGAGAGTCGGATAGCACTGCTTAGACATGCTCTTTGTTCTTGATACAATAAGATTCAGTTTCAACTTTTTAATAGAACAAATTCATCAAACTAAATATTGCCCTTAGTTTGTCATCTTTGAGCATAATGCTTAAGAATTATAGAAGCTTAATCTTCTGCCTGGCTTTCTTCTTAATAAGCTGTTCCATTTTATTAACAGAATACCCCCAAATCATTTCGTTGCCTATTGAATTTCAGTAATTTCTGTGTCTCTATGAAGAGTAGAATAACAGTTTTCAAATTTTTATCTTACGATAAGATGAGTGAATGAAATTTATTTTTTTTTCCCTTGAGTAATTTAGTTAACACGCACAAGTACATAGTGCCTATGACCTAATATTAAATGGTCATTTGTCACTATTTTTGGCAAAATGGCTTTTTCTTTCTTTTTTTTTTTAAAGAAGTCCTAGTAGTTGTTGTCAGTTATATTTTGATGGGATATTATAGTGCTCTTGTTTGTAAACTGAAACCCTGCAAGATCAGCATTGTTTCCTTTATGAATTAATTCATGAAATAGAGCTTGCATCTGGCAAACCAATAATATGAGTAACCTCCATAAGATCTGATTCACTGTTGACTACTATGAGTTTGTTTGCCAAATAATTTGTTTCCGTTTGTAGAAAGCTTCTCAAATGCTTAGGCATTGTACACTGTTGAGTGCCATCAATGCTGGGGATAGATTCATTTTAGTTTAGAATCTTGTCATTATTTCTAGAACATGTGTGTTGCCAAAAATTCTCACATTTTGATTAAGTTCTCAGTTACTGAGTATCTTGTCAGCTTTGCTTCAATATTTCATATTCTGTGTTCTGTAAATTCAGTAAAGTCATCCATGCTGTAGAACAAATAAATAAATTGGTTCGAAAATGAAAATAAAATCCAGATTGCCTCAGAAACAAAATGCATTGTAAAGATTCATGCGACAAGGGTAAATCTGCAGAAATCACATATGGATTAAATCTTTGCAAACTGATATAAAAATAAATTTGGGAAATTTGGCTTTAACGACAATCAAATGGTTACTTAAAGACAAATTAAATGGTTACTTAAAGAGTAACATTTAATAATCAGTGTTTCACCTAAGTATGCATGTGGTAACACATGCAATGTCATTGAACTGCATCACCTAGGACTTTTCTATTATTAGTATTTGACATTTGAAATCTTTTAATTTTATATGCATTAACATGTGACCTTGTACTTCTTGATCAAACTGTTTATATGTATGTAATGTTTGTATATAGCTTCCTGGTATTCTGGAATACCTTCCAAGTTTGAAAGCATTTAGACCACTGGTTCTCCCACTAGATGGGCTTGAATATAGATGCTTTAATTTGAAACACTAGTGTAGAGTAGCTGGAATGTTTTTACATTAGTCAACAATTGGGAAATTAAATATGTGTTAAGAGCTGTTTCGATTATTTAATCACCCTTGCAGTATGAAAATTTTGTGGTCAGCTTGTTTGACATATTGTATTTCATTGTTATCTTTCTGAAAGTTTTTAATTTGGGGATTTTAAAATCGTAATTCTATTTCATTAACAGTTTGAAATATTTCCTTCTATAAAATTTTCATGTAACAGTTTGCCATTGTAATTTTCTTCATCTTCATATGTAATATACATATTTTGCAATACTGTGCTTCCATTATGATTCAGATTAATTTGTTTATTAGATGTGATAACATACAGTTACTTATAAATTTTATGATCTGTCTTACTAACTGGTACAGGCTGCAATTGTCTGTACATTCAAGTTGCCTTATTAGGTATCGATGGGCCTTGCTAACTCTTCAGGTTCCACCCCAAATGGAATTCCATTGGAGATTACCCCGGGGGTAGTCTGAGAGTCTCCCACTTCTCTTTCCCTACCATAAATCTTTCGAGAGAATTTCAGCTTACTCCATATATTTTAAGTGCCTTCTTGCCACAGAGACACTATATGCTTATAAACATCCATGCCTTCTCCAGGATTCAAACCTAGGCTCTTCAGTACAAGGGTGATTCTTGTCATACACAAGTAATGCTGTTATAGTCATTGCTAGTTTTAACAGTTGTTCATTATCACAATTGTTCCATTATAGCAGTTGGTGCAAAAAGTGCCCAGCTGATTAGAATTTATTAAATCTTTCTTTGTAACAACCACTTGCTGTTAACGACCTTTTCTTTAGGATGCTAGGCGTTATTATAGTGACTATTGGCCTAGTTTTGTTATTATTATTTAATATATTTTAACCATAAAAGAGATTTTTACTTAAGAAAAGAACACTGTGACATACTAATAATAATAATTGATCTTGTAATGATTAGTTAGGACTATTATTCTACAGTGGCTTGGAAGTTAGTCAGTCATGCATGTTTTTAGAAGAAATTTTGTTTCAGCAATTGATAATTCCTTTTTTGGGGGGAGGGCTTGTTCTTAAGTATTTGCTTTATTAGACATTTTATTCATATAATAAGAATAGTATGAGTATTTACTGTATATCAATCTCAGAGGGTTAATTCATCAATTTTTTTATAAATTAAATGTTTTGAGAAATTAGTAGCTAACATGTTTTTAATTATTTTTTTTTAAATTCCAGGTACTAGTGAAGTGATGTTGATGCTTATATCCCGTGATATGTTAAGAAAGTTTTCCTGAGCATTGAAATCAAAATCAGATCTTGAAATCAAAAATGTAACTGATTGTGCTATGTGTTATGTGTTTTGGGTAAAACTAAAATGTATGCAGTATGTAACAGTATTTGCTTCAAAAACTAAGAAATGAAACAGGAAGTAAACTTACAAAAAACCAAAAAGACAGCTTTGACTTAATTGTGTATCTCATGCAAGTTATAGGTAATGGAGTGTTAACAGACTTGTATTTTTCAAAAATTTCAGTTAACTGAAATCTAGGGTTATGTGTTAAAAGAAATTTCTAAAACTACTATTTAATCTAAGTAAATATTATTTTGTTCAAATCAGTTTTTAGAATTAAGTTGTTAAAATTTGAATACAGCATTCATATTTGAACATAGATTGAATTTTGAATACCTGAAAATATTCTCAAACACTCGAAAATGTAATATCCTTTAATCTGGTGAATTTATAGTGTAAGCTGAGTAATTATGTCAAAAATATAGTAGGAGTAAAGCTGAAATACACAAAAAGCATGAAAGCTTTGAAGGCACAACAGATGCTGAAAACAAAATACTTTACACCAAATATGAAAGTAAATTTGAATGCTGATTAACTAATTTCACACACATTCATGTAGTATATTCAAAAATAAATTCTAGTTGACAAGATTTTTCTGCGAAAAACCTTAGACTATAAATTCTATGTACACTATGATTTTTTAGACTTTCAGAAACCAAATGATGCTATTATTTCAAAGTTAAGCAATATTTTTGTATCATTCAAGACTTTAAAAGGATTGAAAATCACACCAAATGTGAAATACAATATGTCGTTTGTCTTGTGAATGAAGAAAACGTGTTATCAGCAGACACTGCTTGTCAAATTTACAAGATGTACAAATCGTATTTCATGTGTAACCTAGTGGTCAGAAGATCAGTGAGAGAATTTAAGCATGATCATTCACTATCAAATGTGTAATGTATGTTATGGGATTTTATGATTTGGTTATGTCTGTTGAAAGAAATGGCACTTGGATTTTGCTTTCCTTGTACTTTCTGGTACTATCAAAAACTGCCCCAAACTATAAAAAATCAACTGAATTAGCTGAAGTTTTGCTCTTGTTGGGTTATGAAAGTACTTTTTGAGAAACACAAAGGTGAGTAAAGATGCCACTCTCAATACCCTTACTTGTTGTCTTAAAGAAGGGGACAAATTCTCAAGTTTCATTGTTGGAGGTTACAAAACATGGCTGTCCCACACACCTCCTAAACTGGAAGCATTCCAGATCTTCTAAAATCAAAAATTCTAGTAGGTGATTTAAAACAAGAACTTTTTTGGTGCATGAGCTGATTGGTGATCTGTTTGACTGGAAAATAATCAGTCATCCTTTCTACAATCCAGTCTTGCCACCTAGTGACTTTTACTTGCATGATATGCCTCACTAGACAATTGTTCTGTAACAGAGCCATGAAAAATGTAGTGCAGCATTAGTTGAATGAATATGCTGTAAATTTCTATAAATGTTTTATACACTGTTAATCATAAATTAAGGAAACAAATTGCAAAAAGGATGATTACTCAAAAAGTTACATGTAGAATATAATGAAACTTACTCACAATATACAACACATAGTAAGGTGTTAGAGAAATCAGCATATGTATCAAATGAACAAACCTGTTTGGTATAGGAAAATTGTCTTCAATATCTCCCCTAGAAGCAATACAGTGATGTGTGATGCTATCAATGATATGGTCTATCAGTTCCATAGGTTCCATTGCTTTTGCAAAGCAGTCGCAAGTGTGACAAGGATCTGGAAAGGAGAACTGAGAGAAGCTATACATCATCCTAAAGCATATCAAACATCCTCAATAGTATTCAGGTCTGGTGATCGAGCTGGCTTCTCCATGCCTTGAACTGTTTGCTTATCAAGTTAATCATTCATGATGTGAGCCCTGTGCAGTCTAGTGTTGTTGTCCTGTTGTAGGAAATCATCACCTAGTGTCCCAGCATAAGGTTGCACCTAAGCATCCAGGATGTCATCTTTATAGCTGTGAGCATTCATAGTTCCATATGAAAAGACATGGCCATCTCTGCATCCACCCATAAACTTACCACCCCAAACACGGACACTGCCTCCTCTGTATGCATCTCTTTCACGGATCTTGGATGGATGAGGTTTTGGATGAGATGATTTGGTTTCAGGTTTTCCTCAAATCAAATAGCACCTACTATCACTCTGGAGGTTAAACCTGATATCATAAGTGCATAAGTAACAGATAATTTAACTTTCTTCTTATGCTTATTTTTCTTGGGAGTGGTGTAATTCTTTTTGCATTTCTTTGCTCCACCGTGCAAGCGAAGAATAAGTGCAATGTGTATTCTTTCTGAATATTGTAATCTGACAAAGTACTTCCATCTTCCAACAGTTTACCAGCAAAAATCAATCACTACTGATCAGGAGAGATACCTTCTTTATCTTGACGCTGTAGGACATTCGTTTTGGCTCTGAAAATTCCATTTCAGTCTACGATTTGTCTCAATGCACAAATCGTGGGGTCTTTTATGCCTGTGAATGATTCTTTCTGTACCAGTCTACAAGTGTCTTTTCAGAATTCTCAGATTCATCAACTGGGATATCATTGGTTGGGTTTTTCTCTTTGTTCTTTAAATTATGATAAAATCTGAAAATCGAAGTGATCATTCTCATCGTTTTTCTGAATGAAGAGAAGTATTTGTAGTACCAGTTCAAATCATTTTCCTGTTTTCTTTGTTCATAAGTTCTTTATCAGGTTTTCTTCTACATGGGAGCCACTTGTCTTCTGGTAGGTAAAGCCATGATGGACCCTCCCACTATGCCGATTTCTGTAATTGCTTAATAGTACATCCTCTCGATGGCAGATCCACTGGATTTAAACTTCCACGTACATGTCTCCAGACAGATATTCCTGTAAGTGATCTTATTTCTTGTATTCGATTGTGAACAAACATATCCCATGCTTGATCTCTTGTTATCCACCCAAAAGCTGTAGAAGAATCACTCCAAAACACTGTTCTACAATTCTTAAGTTTCAAATTGGATAGAATTTATTTTGTGAACCCGGCACCTATCAGACACGAGAGAAGTTCAAGACGTGGAATCGGAAGTTCTTTAATTGGGGGATACTCGACTTCTCGTGCCTACTAACTGAACCTTTACACCTTGGATGGTTTCAGCTCTTAAAAATGCACAAAATGCACATAGGCTTCTTTACTAGAATCTGAAAAAACATGGAGAACTAAGGCATCCTCATTATCATAACCATCGAGGTTATCATTTAACCATCGAGGAATTTTAATCTGAGATAGCAGAGGTAATTGGTTTAACCAAGTCCCAAACTGCTCACTTAGAGGTAGAAGAAGATCATCCCACTTTATATTCTGGTTCCACGTTTCTTGCAAAATCAGCTTTGAAATTACAGTTATTGATGCAGTAAAGCCAATGGGATCAAAAATTTTCTGAGTAGCTGATAAAACTTTTCTTTTGGTAATAGGTTCCCTTAAGTTAAATGTTTCGGCGATCTTGCTACTCAAATTATCTTTTTCTAAATCCCATACTAATCCTAAATACAGGTACAACTTTCGACGTATTCTCTATCTCATGGATCATGTCGATGCGAAAATTTGATCATAAACATCGTAAATTGAAATGCCCTGAAGCCAAAATCAATTTTGCTTTTTGAATGAAATTTTCCACTTCATCTACATGATTTAAGCTAATGAACGAATTATTGAGGTAAAATGAATCCTTCACAATATTAGAAGTTTTTACAAATTTTTATGGGACTGTTGTCAAAAGGTGATTAAGTGTTGTGCCTAGCAGAAATGGACTTGATGGGAGCTCCAAAACGACTTGGTTATGTCGATAAATTTTCAAACCATGTTGATTATTGAACCATAGAAATCTTTAAAAAATCTCTTTCACTGCTATTTTTGATTTGACAAAAGGCCTTTTCGTTGTCAGATGACACTCCTATGCGATATTTTCGAAAATGATATACAGTCAAAAGTCGTTATTCGGACACCCATAATCCGGACCTCAGAGCTACAAACTTTCTGCACATGCGTCGCATTGACGCATACGCGTAAGACCTTTACGGTTGCGAATATGCATGTGCGCATGCTCATAATACGTTTATGCATGGGCGTTTAATGTATAACAGACTGTATAAGCTAAGCTAAAATTATCTAATTCAGTTAATGTTGCAGATTGCGTTGTTAAGGGTATCTACAAAGCGAAAGTATGTTTCAAAGTCCATTAAACAAAAAGTGGAATTACTGCAAAAAATGGATAAAGGCATATCCTTTTTTCTCTAACCGTTCCGAAATCTGTTTATCAATTTCACGCTGCTCTGTGGGGGGGGGCGCAATGAATTGGAAGTTGATCTGTCAGCACTATCCTAATCTTCAGGGCAGATGTTTTTATTTTATTTGGCTTATAATTCCTTACTAAATGTAGTATTTCATCTCGATGTACTCCGTCTTTGATATGATTTAAATCAAATTCCTCGTCATTATAATTCGCTTCCGATAGTGAAGAAAGTGACACAGAGGTTATTGAAAATGAAAAAATTTCGATTGACAAATTAGTCGGTATTCTCGACACAGTAATTATAGGATTTGAACAGCGGAACTTTCTAACTGAAGAAGAAATTATGTCTGTTTATAGAATTAAAGAGAAAGTATTATCACATAAAACGAAGCAACTTAAACAACTTACATTGAAAGAGATGTTTAATAAAGTAAAAAAATAAATATTAAGCTTTTTTTTTGTAAATTTTGATACCTTTTAGATCATAATTGTTCTTTATTTCATAAATTACAGTTTCATATTTTTAATTTTATAATTTCTGCATGCCATCTTACCAGATTTAAACTGATGATCTATAATCCGAAATTGCCGAAGTCCCGACGAGTCCGGATTAACGACTCTTGACTGTAATATGTTTGAGATATAATTTCTATTAAATTTGGTTCTTTACTAAAACAATCATTGAGAGAGAGTGAATACTTTGAACATGCAAATACATTAAAAAGGGTCATATTTTTGTGGTTTCACTTGACTCCTTTAGTACAGGTGTGTGTGTGTGGCAAGTAATGTACTCTTTTGTCTTTTTCCTCATTTACTACCTCAGTAACTTAACTAAGGTTACATTGCATGAATATTACACGCTGTCTCCACACAGTCATTATAGCTCTGTTCAATTAGAGTTCTATTTACATTTTTAATTAAGATTATTCTAGAGTTTAGATATGATGGCACTGGGAGTCGACAGTTTAGATGTAACAGTAACTGTGTTGTTAGCC